ACATTCTCCAGGATAGATGACATGTTAGGCCACAAAACAACTCTTAACAAATTTAGGAAGACTGAAATCATACACCATCTTTTCTAACCACAGCAGTTTGAAACTGGAAATCAACAGCAAAAGACTAGAAAAAAAAAAAAACATGGAGGCTACGCAGCATGCAACTAAAAACGAATGGGAGAATAATGAAAATAGAAACAGAGCAAAACCTTTGGGATGCAGCAAACACAGTTCTAAGAAAGAAGTTTATAGCATTATAAGCCTACCTCAAGACACAAGATAATTAGCAAACTGAATTCAACAATACATTAAAAGGATCATTCACCATGACTAAGTTGGGATTTATCCCAGGGATGCAGGGATGGTTCAATATCTGCAAATCAATATGATATACTACATTAACAAAAGCAATGATAAAAACTCTCAACAAAGTGGATATAGAGGCAGCATACCTCAACATAAAAGAGGTCATATATGACAAACCCATAGCTATCATACTCAACAGTGAAAAACTGATGGCTTTTCCTCGAAGATCAGAAATAAGACAAGGATGCCCACTATCACCACTTTTATTCAACATAGTACTAGAAGTTCTAGTCATGGCAATCAGGTGAAACAAAAGGCATCTAGATTAGTAAGGAGTAAGTAAAATTGTCACTATTTGTGTTGGGAGCGAGCTAAAAAGAATTTGAGTAATGTTAGCCTTAAGACAACAGCAAAAGGAAATCCTGCCATGGCCTAAATTGAGGTAAACTTTGCAGTCAGGTTACTTAGCAACACATCCTCCTCTGTTCCTTCCACTGACCTACTAATACTGCTTCTTAAGAACACCTGCTGCCTCAGGGGGTGAAACTCACCCTCGAACCCCTACCCACAAGATGGCCAACTTCCTGCTTCTCTTGCTTGTTCTCCGCTCCCGCCGGCGCCACCTAAGGCCCAATCACCTTCTGACCCACCCCTTCCTTGCTACCTGTATAAATTGAGCCTGCAAACAATAAACTGTGTCAGCTTGATCAGACATCCTGTCTTGCTGTCCATTCTTTGTGTCCCTTTCCCCTTCATTCTCTCCTCCAGGTCGTCGACCCCCGTTGATAGTCCTGCAGGTCGGGACAACTGGCGCCCAACGTGGGGCCCGACAGACCGGAGAGGCGAGAACGTCGCCCCCAGGAGGGTGGGCCCACCCATGAAAGGTGTCTGCAGCTACGAGACCCTCGCCAGAGTCACCACGTTCTGAACCTGGCGTGAGACAGACTCGTATATACTCATACTCAATCGGCGACGCATTCGGGAAGGTAGTCATGGGGCAAGCATCCTCACAAGAAGAATTGTTTATAGCCGGACTCAAGGAGTCCCTCAGGACACGAGGAACTAGGGTTAAGAAAAAAGACCTGAAACGTTTTTTACCTTAAAGATTGCTTTTTTACCTTGCTCCCCAGTCAAAGCAGTCCTCTTAGGCCTGCATTACTTCCTCCTGTGTAATGTAAATAGAGCCTGTGATTAAGCTGAATCCTCAGATCAACATGTAAATAGCTCTATTCTATTAACTGCTTTCCTTAGAGGCAGTCATCCTAGAGCTAAGCATTTCCTCCTCAGCAGCCCCAGAGAAGCCAAACAAGCTTGTGACTCAGATCAGGGCTCTAGTAGTGAAAAGTCACACAGTCCCTGCATTTATCAGACAGGCAGGGTCCTCTTGAGGAATGGCTATAGCTCAGGCAGAAAAAACTAGGAAAACTAACTGAGAGCAATTCGATCCCTATACTCTAAAAAGAAGTATCTTATCTACTGCACACAAACCTGGCCCCAGTACAAACTCTCTGATTAGAGAGGCTTGGCCCCTGAAAGAAGTATGCAATATAATGTTATGCAGCTAAATATATTTTGCCACAAGGGAAGAAAATAGTCAAAAGTTCCATGAACTACTACAATATGGAGCTAGTTTTCTAAATTCTTTTAGTGAACATCTATTCTACTTATTAAGTTCATCATTATCTTTGAGAATTGAGAAGTCTTAAACTAAACTCCCTGAGATAGAAGAAATTTATCTTTTGCAATACAGCCTGGCTTTAAATGACTGGAGCTAGAATTGTACTTGCATTTCATTTCCAGCCCCCTGGACACACACAGTCCCTATCAGTTCAGAGCTTTCATCCGCCCTGTTAGTCTGGGGCCGTCTAAACCTTAACCCAGTTATGTAAACTGCTTGCCTTTAGAGTGTATTCTTGAAAACTGAAGTACTTTTAATCAAATAAACTAAGAAGAAAGAAGACCATTGAGTATTAGAAACTCAAATCTTTATGTCAGTTTGTCTGTATATATGTATTTATATGAAGAGTGTTGCTAACTGTAGTCATTATGTCTCGGTCTGTATGTTTGTGTGTCTAAGTGTGTAACAAAAAATATATATATATATACCTCCGGAAGGTATTAATAAAATTGATTTAAAAACAAGCCCTTGTGAAAATTGGGCATTCTAAAACTTGCAGAAAAGCTAATAAAAAACATTATGCATTAATGCTAATTTAAGCTTAACTGAAATGGACATGTCCTTATAGTTATTAGCTGCCAAAGTTTACTTAAAGTCACATGAAAAGGTGCACGACATCACTAATCATCACGGAAATGCAAGTTAAAACACCACCACCTCACCCCTGTTAGGATGCCCCCTATTGGAAAAAGCAAAACAAAATAGTAACAAACACTAATAAGGACATAAGGAAAATTAAGCCCTTGTGCATGGTAGGTGGGAATGTAAAATGGTGCAGCCATTATGGCAAACAGAATATGGCAGATCCTTAAAAATTAAACAAAGAATTACCATATGATCCAGCACTCTCATTTCTGAGCATATTTCCAAAAGAAAGAAAGCAGGATCTTTAAGAGATTTTTGTATGCCTATGTTCATGGCAGCATTCATTATTCATGATCACCAAGAGGTGGAAGCAACCATAATGTCCACTTGACAGATAGATGAACAAAAAAAACGTTGTATAAACATGATGGAATAATATTCAGCCTAACATAGAAAGGAAATGTTGACATATACAACAACATGAATGACCTTGAGGACATTACACTGAGTGAAATAGGTCAGGCACAAAAAGACAGAGTATGTGATATCACGGTTATGATGAAGTGTGCGGAAGCAATTTTTAATTCCAAAAAACCCCAAAAAGTCTGAGAAAGGGCATTTTCATAGTGCACTATGTGGCTTATCTGAGAACAGCATTAACATAGCTCTAATGCTGAACTAAGTATAGATTTGACCAAAACTTGTGATGTGCGTTTGTTGGGGGGGGGGGGGGTGGGCATGCTTCCATAGCCGTAAGAACCACACCAGGGCTCCGCACGGGCCTGCCAAATACGGGGCGCCCACGAGCAGCGGCTGCAGCTGGCGCGACAGCGCACTGGTCCTTTCACAGCCGAGGGGGCCGAGGCCCAGGGGCGGAGGGAGGCTGCCGGAAGTCACACAGGTAGGAAGTCACAGAGGCAGTTTGGTTCCAAAGCCTGCACTGCGTGCCGCCACACTCACCTGCTTCCTGGTAGGAAGGCAAGGCAGGCGGTGCGGGGAGCCCACACGAAGGGGAGTCTGATGTGGCAGCTCAAAGGTGTACAAGTCGCATGACTGGGGAACAGAAAAGGCTGGAGAATGTCATTTTCCTTGTAAAGTATTCAACTTTTCCATTATGACATGTTACTTGAAAAAAATTAAAGAGGGGGTTAGCTAGGGCACAGGGGTCTGGAGAGCAGGCTCCGGTTCTGTCTGGAGTTGCCCGGCTGTGTGGTCTGGGGCCGTCACCAACCTGAGACTCGGCATCATCTGCCTAGATGGTTTCCGGGTTCTCTTCCCACTCAGAACATTCTGGCCACGAACAAGATAAACAGTGATCTCAAGGACAGGCTCCATTAAGAGAGAAGATCAAGGGTGACAGTGTTACAGGGAAGGAGGGACAGGGAGGGTGCACTCTCGGCAGCCCTGGGGGAGGCCTTTGTGAAGAGGCCTAAGGTGGGCATGTGTGCCACGGGGTGGCTGGAGAGAGGGGACGTGTGACAGGATGGCGCCACAGGCTGCATAGGGGAGCAGTGAGCACAAGTTGGGGGATGTCTGGGGGGACCACCCATCTCTCCTGGATGCCCTGAAGAAGTGGGGCAAGGCTGGGACGCCCATACCAGCCCTTGTTTGCTGAGAAGAGAGAAGTCCTGTGGGTTAAAGGCCACTTGGCCATGTGGTTCGTGGCCAGGGGGGCCCTCCAGGCGTTGCTAGCTGGTTGCGGGCTGCCACGGCAGGTGCACACATCTTTTGTCCTGCCGTCGCGACACAGCATCAGCAAGTGGAGCAGGGAAGCACAGAACACTGAACATGGGTCCACTTGGTGAACCTTTATTTGCATTTCTGAGTCACTTTTACAAACAGATCGCTTTTGTCAATTACATAACAATCTGTGGCCCAGACCCAGGTGAGCGGTAAATATTTACCTTCACATTGGAGCCCAGGCTGCTGCGCTGAGTCACAGAGAGCTGCAGGGAAGCGTCGTGATCCTCCAGGACCTTGAAAAAGGAACACTGCAAGCTGGTCATACTGCCAGGACCAGCATGTAAGGGTAGCATTTGAACACGAATTCTCTCCTGTAGCTGATCACAGGTGACCACACACTCACATATACGTACATGTATATTTATATTTGCTTATTATTTCTAATTTTTCTGAAATACTGATTGTGTAAGTTTTAAAGTACTTTAAAAGACTGAAAACTGCTCTAAAAAAACAATTCTACAGGGCTTGAGAGCCTTTTCCTGGAAGAATGGCTATAAAAGGGTGGTTGGTGTTTCCTGGAACCTCAGGCCCACCACGTGCTGGTCACGAGCTCGTGAGCCCTGGGCGTGCTGGGGGCCGGGGCAGCCGCCTGCCCCAAGTCTGGCCCTTCCCAAAGCTCCCAGCCCCATCCCATACCAGAAAGCTCTACCCGGTTCACCTACCCATCTGTTGCTTTTCTCCTTGGCAGCCTCCCTCGCCCACATGGCCCACGTGTTCGTGTACGGGACCCTGAAGACAGGCCAGCCCAACCACAAGGTCCTGCGGGACGGCGCCAACGGCCGCGCGGCCTTCCGAGGTCAGGGCCGCACGCTGGAGCCGCACCCCCTGGTGATTGCTGGGGAGCACAACATCCCGTGGCTGCTGAACCTGCCGGGGCGTGGGCTCCGTGTGCTCGGGGAGATCTATGCCGTGGACGAGCGGATGCTGCGCTTTCTCGATGAGTTTGAGGGCTGCCCAGACATGTACCAGCGCACCCGCGTGCGGATTGCGGTCCTCGAGTGGGAAGGCGCACGCAGTGCCCCCGAGGGGACGCCGGTCCTCGAGTGGGAAGGCGCACGCAGTGCCCCCGAGGGGACGCCGGTCCTCGAGTGGGAAGGCGCACGCAGTGCCTCCGAGGGGACGCCGGTCCTCGAGTGGGAAGGCGCACACAGTGCCCCCAAGGGGACGCCGGCTGCGGACGGGACCCTGCAGTGCTTCGTGTACAGCACGGCCACCTACTCGCCGGAGTGGGTCCACCTGCCATACCATGACAGCTATGACTCTCAGGGGGAGCACGGGCTTCGCTATAATCCCCGGGAAAGCAGATGAGAAGCGCCAGAGACCAGACAGCCCCAGGGGACCCTAACATGACCTCAGTCTGGTCCGCACTCGCTGAATGCCAGTGAAACAAATACTTGCAAGACTCAATGTGTGGGGGAAAAAAACTCTTTTTCAGTGGCAGCAGATTTCCCAATTCTGACATACCACTAGCAAGACTATGCCCTGGGATCTGTCCACCAGCACTGCTTTATTGCTTGCTGCTTAAAGAGCACCGTGGGCCTGAGACTTGAACAAGAAAAACCCGGGATTTTAATTCCCCTAAATGACATGACATTTCCAGAACTCGTGTATTATATTTCTCTTCCTGTATTTTTTTTTGCTTTGCTTTTTTTACTTTAATCTGAAGATAACATTTAAAATGAATTGAAAAGCTTGGAATTGCAGCTAGATTTTAGCAGCCCTACAGTATTGAGTCTGACCTGGACCACCAAGAAAACAAATTTTTTTAAAGCTGATTTTGGGTGTCTCCATGTAATAAAAGAACAACATACTATATTTTGGAGTATATTTAACATCATTCTTCACAATATTCAGATCAAGCTTATTAAAGCCAACCATTTAATATTAAACTGGTTGTTTTGGGAAATCAATATAATAAATATAAAACTTGGTACTACAGACAGCAGTTAGGTCTGCAAATATAATAAATATAATAAATATAAAACATAAAAAATAAAAAATATATAATAAATATAAAACAGTTGGTACCACAGACAGGAGTTAGGTCCGCAACCAGAAGACGGAGGTGATCAGATTTAAGGGGCAAATGCGAACTTAATGAAACTGGTGGCCCTGTTTTGGAGTCTGCTTATTCAGTAGGTTTTTTTCATTCTAATCGAGCAAAATAACGAGCATCCACTTGCTGGCAGATGCAGCTAACACTGATTTCAGCTGGAAGCTCCCCAAGCCCAGGGCCCAGGGGCAAGGCTTGTCCCTGCCTCCCAAAGGGAGCGGCATGTGGGGCGGGCCTTTCACAGAAGAACCAACACGTTAGTAATTTGTTCTTCAGGCCTGACGGAAAGCTTAGCTTCCAAATACAAACAGCACTTAAAATAATTTTAGCAACGCACGAAGTACCAATTACTACCCACCTCCATCTGATAATCTGTCAGCATAGAGTCAAATCGGCACACAATTCTGCCTCTGCTTACATACCAGCAAAGTATGAAATGTATTCCAAGAATTTCAGAACCAAATGAAAGTGCAGCTGCTGGTCGTTAGTAACCTCGTTCTCCGCTGGGAGAGCTCACTTACTCTTCAACTTAATGGTACACTGTGATCGCTAACTGCATCTGGCACAAAAACATGATCATTATTTTTAGCCCTTTTTTCTTAATTGGAAACTTGCTTCACAAAAACAAAAAAAGGCAAGGGTGACTGACTATCAGCTGATGAGCTGTGGCAGCCCCACCCACTCCTGTTGGTGAGGGAGCCCTGTGCAAACCTTGGATGCGGAGCCAGCTCTCCGGGAGGAGACGCCCCTGGGGGCCCAGCACTCACCCGAGGGCCACCCGGGAGCCTCTTCCAGAGTCATCCCTGCTGTGGGCCTTGTGACTAACCACAGACAGGAGTTAGGTCCACAACCAGAAGACGGAGGTGATCAGATTTAAGGGGGCAAATGCTAACTTAATGAATCTGAAGGCAAAGAACTGGGATTTATGGAAATTTTTTCAAAGGCCCACAGTGAAATGCTAATATTTAAAGCCTACTGGCACAGCCAGTAGCCATTTATGTACATTGTCTTCATTCAAAAAAAGGGCAAACTAATATTTAGACAAATGCTCATTTTTATTGATTTAATTTTGACACTAGGAAATCTCACAGCAGAAGTACAAATCATATGTACATGTATTTATATCAATAAAAATTTCCATTGGTGATTTTTTGGCAGAATGTTGGTTTTGACTATATGTGGAATAAATATGACCATGTAAAATCTGCCGCACAGGGGTGTTCCTGTAAAATGCTTGAATAAATTGAGTGTGAAAGAATAATAATACAAATGGCTAATTAAATTGGGTGATGACTGAAAGGCTATAAATACTTCACTCCAGTTCCACGAGCAGATCTCCTTCTCCAACTGTGTCTCCAGCTTTACAATTCACTGATTTCACCTTGAATTTAAAAAGGGGGGGGGGGTTAAGAATTATTAACTAGACCGAGAGGAACAGTCCTGCCATCCATTTCTGGAAAGGAAGAGACAGCCTAGCAGGCTCTGTAGCACATGTAGAAGTTGGCTGGAGGGGACCTCCTATGCAGGGCGCCCTCGCCCTTGGGGGCTGTGGCTCACCGCCCTCCCCCCAGCTCTCCCGTCCCGTCCTTGTCTGTCTTAAAAGTCAAGGGAATTGCTGCTGTTGTTTGCTGCTGGCTGTGGCCCTTGCCCTGGGTTCCCTCAGGGGTCAAGGCAGCATCCTAAGGCCAGGTGTGCTTATGCTAGACAAGTGTTCGACACTGACCCTCCCGATTTCTCTTGCCATTTCAGGTTGTAGAAATGTCTGAGAGTTAATGGTATACTTAGTTTGGTGTAAAAAAAAAAAAAAAAAGAACAATTATACAAGAGTCAAAAACAGGTACTATGAAAAGGAGAAACTCCCCAACCTGAAAGTAAACTTTCTCTGAAGGGAAACGCAACACTCAGAAGACACATGGCCAGCAGGTCGTGCTGCGTGGCGTGGCGTGGGTACAGACTCTGAGCTCTCACCACTGTGGAGCTGTGCGCTTTCCTTCTACCGATTTCTCCCGATTTTCATCAAGTCTTGCTCTCCCAAATTTGTGTTCAGAATTAAAATGAATGGGGAGGGGGTTAAAGCGGGGAAGAGACAGCTATCTGACTTATCAGAAGTTCTTGCTTTGACGTGAAAACTGTTGATTGGCGAGAACTACCTGGCCGTCTGGGCGCATGGCAGACAGGAAGAACGCCCAGACGGCGGGCTTGGTGCCCTGTCCTGTGTTCTGGCTGCCCTGCTAAGAAGATCCAGAAGGCTAACGGCCTTTTGCCCCTGAATTCCAGCCTGGGGTCCTGCAAAATGGTGTGAACCTACGCAGGGAGTGATTCAAGGGCTGGTTCGGCAGGTGCTACTGGCACTGAAGTGACTGCTTTTGATGATCAGGAGCCCCCGACGTCTGCACAGGATGACTTTTTCACACTGCAGCTGAGACACGGAGGGAGAATGGCCCTCCAGCTGAGAACTGCAGCCGCCAGCTCACCAGGGCTGCTCCTCAGTGCGGAGGCAAGCCATTCCTGGGGGGCCCTGCTCGCGGCACAGAAGGAAATGGGCGGACAGGAAGGACTCCAGCGGCCGGAGCTCGGGCCAGAATACAAACTCCCCCAGAGCCTATCAGCACCCTTGAAGTAGCTCTGGGCTGCCGATGGCCAGGGAGCAGTTAAGCCTCCAACATGGGGCCAGACCACGCGGCCATAAAACACTGATGGATGCGGGCTCCACACTCCTTCCGAGAGCTCGACCACGTTCGTTCTTGCATTAGTACCTCCATCCAGCAACACTGGCCCTTGGCAGGCATCTGACATATTCTAGATCCCCCAGAATTAGGCCAAGTTATCACGATGGATGGCAATTTCATAACATTAACACAGTGTAAATAATCTCAAGAACAAATATCACAATTTTTACCAGAGCAGAAACTTGTCCTCTTTTTAAAAATTAACCAGAAGTAGAAAGCAGTTCCATAAAATGTGCAAATCATGCCATTCTCTCCCAAACCCCACGGAGTCTGGATACAGCTGTCTGCAGCACCCCCAGCCTGGCCGGCCAGCTCCAGACCCACAGCCCTGCACTGGGCCTCACGCTCTACTAAGACTGGACTGGGCGCCCCCTCCGAGCACCAGTTTCATCTCCTTTGGGATGACAGACAGGCTGCGTGTCTCTGATGCAGACTTCACTGCGAGCTGACAGCATCTCTGCCCACCGTCCCCAGGGCTCGACCCCACTTTCCAGCCGTGGCCACAACACAGGACGTGGCCCCCCCCAGCCACTGTCCTCACCCCTCTACCTCACTCCACTATGCAACTTCCAAACCAAACTGTCCTTCAGAAAAAGATCATTTGGCTAAGAATGTGTCTTTTTTAGTTGCAGGAAGAATAATGAAGTTTTTGCTTCAAAGGACTTTTCTATTTTCTTGAAGGAGAAAATATGTTTAGAGGTTTTACTCTTTAACACATTTAGTAGTTATACATCCTCTCCTTTTCTTCTCCCTGAATCACGTGTATGTGGGGCTTTCAGCTCTTGATGATGTGAAATAGAATTGTTCTCTTTGAGGAGAAGTTATCTTGAAAAGTTACATTAGTTTTTGCAATCTCGAAAACATTTCCTGCTGTGTCACCTATGTCTCAGATCTAACTACCTGCATCTAAGACAGATGTAAACATCACAGATTAAAGATTCCTTAGTTTGAAAGATATCAGGTAAAGGACAATTGTTCCCGGATTGCCTGAACACCATACAAGAGTCTTCGGGTGGACCTGCTCTCCCTGAGGTAGGGACCCCTCCAGGCCGAGGGACCAGCGCTCCCAGGGTGAACGTGCTCGGCTGCAAGGGGCAGAGGTTGGAAGAGATCACCTCTGGGGTCTCTGTCAGGCCTAACCGTCCAAGACTCAGAGGTGGAAGCTCAGCTTCCTGTCGCGGAGCCTGCGTGGGCCGGCAGGAACGTGGGGACATACCTTGCCAGTTTTCCCAGCCAGCATACTGTTCTGCATTTTCATGGCTTCAATCACACAGATTTCCTGGCCTTCTGCTACCTGGAAAATAAATAAAACATAGAAGTTTTAAAAGCACTCTAACTTTGCAACAGTGCTCAAGAGTGAAGCCATTATGAGATTCTTTGTCAAATGCTCTGAAATTTTATCCAAACAGCAGTGAGGTTCTCTAGTATTTCATGTTCCAAGTTCCTCTTTGGGGGACAGTTGAGAAAGGTCCTTCACTCTATCATCATTAAGTCCTCATTTAAAAAAAAAAATCTCAGATATCAAGGGTTGAGGGTGGTAGTTGTAGAGCCTCACCTGGGGATGCCTGAATCTGCCATTGCCACAGAGATGTGACCAAAACAGGGTGTTTTCCACCTACATTAAATGTGCGGAATTGGCAAATCTCTACAGACAAAAGGTTTGTGGCTTCCCAGGGCTGGGGAGGCTGGGGTAAGGGGAGCGGTTGCTGAGGGGTGCAGGCCACCTTTTGAGGGGGATGAAGATGTTCTAAGATGCACTGCGGCTACAGCTGCAGAGCTCTGTGAACAGACTGAAACCACTAAGTGCACTGTAAAGGGCTGCACGGTGTTGTGTGGGTATTTTATCTCAGTAAAGCTGTCACCACAACATGGAGTGTCTCTGTCTACAGCAACTGGGAGCACCAGCCAGTCACCCAGGCCTTGGCTCCCCACGTTTGTAAGACATGCCACATCCTGAGAACGCGGTGGCTCCCGGGAAGCACCTTCCAACCCCGAACGGCTTCTAGAGCTGTGCCCATTCCTTATAAGGACACCAGTAGCTCCCGCACACACTAGCTCAAGCTTCCAGTTCTGATGTCTGCCTTTCATTTGCAGGGAAGTTCAGGTGGAGCTTGGCCCAAACCCACTGGAAACCTGGGGCTTCCCCCAGGAGTTAGCTGTGCCAAGAGCGGCCCTGCTGAGTCCCTTTTCTCTGCCCCTGGTGGGTAAGCATCAGGGGCTGGGCTGCATTTTTCAACTATCTTTGTGAAAAATGGTCTCCTGATTTTGAAATGGGGGAGTCGAGTTTGCTAGTGCAACTGGCTCTGCTGGGGTGCTGGTGGTGGGGGGGGTCCTGGTGTGGGGCTCCTGGACGCTCTTACCACCACGGCTATGCTTGTCCAGTGTCGCTGAGGGGCCCAGAGAACGTTCTTCCCTGAAGTCCCCAGATGCTCTCCAAGCCCCTCCCAGCCCCCCGTGCGGCACAAGCTGTCTTGCTGGCAGCGGGACTGCCTGAGCCCCATGCGTTCCTTTCCGCAGCCGATCAGGTGGTGGGCTGCCTTGTCCTGGCACGGAAATATAGGAAGAGAGGGGATGCCAAAGCCTCAGTGCTGGCACAGAGGAGAGACACTGTGCTGGAGAGCTGGGCTTTCAAGCTCAGTGCCCACTGCCCTTTTGATTCACTTTCACCTGGCATCTGCATGCCACAGAGAGTGAAGAATGTACTGGCGAGGGCTGTGCAAAACACAGAGGACAGCGGTGAGGCAGTGCCAGGCATCACAGATGCCCGGCCAGGGTGTCGGATCAGCGCCTCCTCCAAGCGGTCATCTCAGAGCCTCATTTCCTCTTTTCAAAGGCAGGCAGAGAGCAGGCAAGAGGGACGAAGGGCAAGTTCCCTGCAGAAGCACCTGCCACTTAGCTGCACACACAAAAACCTGGTGCCCCCAGACCCTGGCTACGGTCCTTAAACAACGGCCAGAGGCACAGAGCTGGCCTCCCAGAACAGCATCCCAACCCAAGGGCGGCATTCCAGCAGCAGCTCGGTGGCCTTCTGAGAAATGGACCTGAAACTCAACAAAATGCCATGGAAATGCCATCCAAACGCTAGTAATCAGCTTTCTACCTTTGGGCTCTAGTAGCTCTTTGCTTCCTAGGCAGAGGAGTGCCCACCGTGGGGATCTGTGTGAGCTTGGCCCCCACCCTCCACCCAGCCAAGCTTCCTCCACTGGCATCTCCAAGCCCAGGGCTTGGCAGTCTGCCTCCCCCTGCCCGGCTCCTTGGGCTGCTTGCTGACAAGCACCTCACCCCTCGGCAGGTCTGTACCCCCTCGGCTGCTCAGCCCACTGCTTGCAATCTGCTGGCCAGACCAAGTGCCCCTCACGCTTCTTCATGAATCTTCAAGTAAGTGAATTTGCAGTTAATGCAAATATGAAAAAGAATGAACCCAGGAGATTCGCAGTGGTCCCACCAAGGGGCACACCAACCAGACAACAATACCGTAGGAGCCGTGCTGAAGGGCAGCAGGGCCTGGCCACAGCTCCACACCAGGCTGCGGCGGGCCGCACTGGCAGTTCCAGCAGGGCTGCTGGAGTCTGGGGGCAGCGGGAGACGGGCAACAAGCTTACTGCTCTCCCTGCCCACTGGCCAGCTCCCCTGCCTAGCTCTGGGTGCTTTATAGGTGGGTAATTTGCAAAAGAGGTGCCATACAGGTGAGTGTAAGGGGTAGGGCCCCAGTCGATACTCAGAGAACGAAACCTCTGATGAGTTAGCCAGAGGATCCTCAGGAGAGGTGGGAAAGTCCCAGAGTTAAAATACTCTCCTCTTTGATTGTGCGACTAGCAATTTTATTAAAAGGGCTTCAAAGAAAGCAACTGTGGACTTGAAGTGACCAGGTCTCCTGCCCGACCTGCAGCCCCGCCCCGAGTCACACAGGCGGCTGCTGGCAGCTCTGCTTCCCCTTCTGTTCCTCTTTCCCTCCCTAGTTCCCTTCTCTGTGTCTGCTGATTTAGGCAGAGGAGTGCCCACCGTGGGGATCTGTGTGAGCTTGGCCCCCACCCTCCACCCAGCCAAGCTTCCTCCACTGGCATCTCCAAGCCCAGGGCTTGGCAGTCTGCCTCCCCCTGCCCGGCTCCTTGGGCTGCTTGCTGACAAGCACCTCACCCCTCGGCAGGTCTGTACCCCCTCGGCTGCTCAGCCCACTGCTTGCAATCTGCTGGCCAGACCAAGTGCCCCTCACGCTTCTTCATGAATCTTCAAGTAAGTGAATTTGCAGTTAATGCAAATATGAAAAAGAATGAACCCAGGAGATTCGCAGTGGTCCCACCAAGGGGCACACCAACCAGACAACAATACCGTAGGAGCCGTGCTGAAGGGCAGCAGGGCCTGGCCACAGCTCCACACCAGGCTGCGGCGGGCCGCACTGGCAGTTCCAGCAGGGCTGCTGGAGTCTGGGGGCAGCGGGAGACGGGCAACAAGCTTACTGCTCTCCCTGCCCACTGGCCAGCTCCCCTGCCTAGCTCTGGGTGCTTTATAGGTGGGTAATTTGCAAAAGAGGTGCCATACAGGTGAGTGTAAGGGGTAGGGCCCCAGTCGATACTCAGAGAACGAAACCTCTGATGAGTTAGCCAGAGGATCCTCAGGAGAGGTGGGAAAGTCCCAGAGTTAAAATACTCTCCTCTTTGATTGTGCGACTAGCAATTTTATTAAAAGGGCTTCAAAGAAAGCAACTGTGGACTTGAAGTGACCAGGTCTCCTGCCCAACCTGCAGCCCCGCCCCGAGTCACACAGGCGGCTGCTGGCAGCTCTGCTTCCCCTTCTGTTCCTCTTTCCCTCCCTAGTTCCCTTCTCTGTGTCTGCTGATATCTACTTCTATTACTTGGCTACTGATGGAAATCTAAGTCATTTCTCCCTGTTTGCTTTGTTGTTGTCTGATTTCACTCATTTATCCCTAAAAGAGAAAGAACTCTTGCAAGTAGTTCCTTGATACCCCCACAAAATCATGTTGGCAGAATCATGTTGTACACACACACATGAACTTGATCTAAAGTCAAGTGATTCCATCCCTCGAAGATCCAAGTCAGAGAAGCAAACAGACAACAAAGATCCTCTGTTCCAGAACACAGCCAGGGCTGTCACAGGGTGTCCTGACCACGGGGCAGGGAGTCCAGTTCCAGCCGCACTGAGACGCATCACACAGGCCTCCCGCCTCCGTGATCTGGGAGCCTCCTGGTCTGGTGGCGCCTACTTCCCTCCCCTCCCAGAGCTCCGGAAGGAGGTGACAACACCTTCCAGATTCCCCCAGGTGCCCAGGGAGCCAGGGCATTTGCTGAGTGAGGAGAGAGGGCACTTCAACGCTCTGGGTTCCCATCAGTCAGCTCTCACGTGAGGGCACAGCACCAGAGGCCTTGGTGTGCACACTTCTCCAACACTTTTGTGAATCATCTGAGAAAGGCTTACCGACTGTGACAGGAGGTCTCCAACGCTGGGCTTACAAAATGGTCACAAGCCTCGCAAGTCTTTTTGATAAACCTGGCCAGCCTGATGCGCTCCTCCACTCCCTGTCTAATTGGTGTAAAGTACAGAGGCCCGAATCCTGTATCTCTCACCCGGCTTACTGCGTCCTCTCCTTTGACACGGGGTCAGGGTTCACATTTGCATCCGATTATCAGAGCGTGCTCATTAAGCAGGAGCCTGCCTTGCCCCAAAATGAGGAAGCCGGAGAGAGAACTCGGCCCATTTACTCGGCAGATTTTAGCATGTTTAGGGGACATGAGCGTCACCCAGCACTGCCCTGTGCTGAAGAGTTTCAGACATCTCCAGCTGATGATTAATTGTGAGTGATGGGAAATAAAATCCAGTAAAGCCAGCTGCTTGCCATGGCCGGCAAAGTGACTCTAATGGATATAGGCTGCCAATTTTCCAGTTTTACTGGCAAGTCTTCCAAGTGTAATTAAGGGAAGTTATAAATGATATGGAAATCTATCAAGTTCCATTTATTTTCAGAGGACTCTTTCCCCAGAGACTTTTATCTTCAAGCTTATAGTATGCTTTGTTGTGCTAATGATTTAAACCCCTTCTTTTTTCTGATTGAAGCCCCCAATATCCTTCTACCAAGTTCACTTCACTCCTTCCCCAAAGATTAAAAGACACAGAACCTTCCCCTGCACGTGTCCCTCTTGGAAAACATGCTAAGACTGGGGCACATGTGGCAATTTGTATCGTTCAAACTGCAAATGCGCGAAGAAAGCTCAAAGAAAGTGCGGGAAGAGAAAGAGCAGAGAAGGGGAAGAAAGACCTCCATGCACATAAAAGGAAGCC